TGGCGTCCATGGCGCCCTTAGCAACCGCTCGTCGCTAAGCAGCGCACGCCATCACGGCGCGACGCGGACCCCGCTGCCTCGCCCGGTTTGTGACCTCATCAAACCGCGCCGCCCTCTCTCCCTCCCTCCCCTGGCACCACGTGTCTCTCTCCCCGGGCTGGGCCTGCCCCGGGGCGGGGGCGCCAACGTCATGCCGTTGCCCCGGGAGACGGCAGTAACAATTGCCCGGCCGGGCTAGTGCCGGTGGGCGGCGGGACGGGCCGGAGCGAGGGCAGGTGAGCGCAGGGCTGCGACCCCCGGCCCGCACGTGTGCACACCTGCCCCGCTAGTCCGCCTCGAGCCCTCCGCCCCCAGCCCCCCCTGGCCGGGGCGGGACCCCTTGTCTTGGGCACAAGCAGCAGGGAGGAGGGGACCCGCCGGCATGGACCCTGCTGGGGGGCTGCAGTTCACGTGCCGTGCCGTGGCACACGTGCCAGTGCTGCGCCAGCTGTTCTGCACTTCACCTGTCCTCGCTGCCATTTTAACCAGTTAGAAAATCCCCCTACAAAGTCCCTCGTGCCTTAGTTCCTAGGGGGAGCTGAGCCACGCCAGCTTGCGACCCTGCCCTAGGACCAGGCAGGACATTCAGGCTTCGTCAGTAGCCGTAAAGGGGTGTGCCCTTACTGAACCTAAAGGCTACGACCAGGCCCAAATGATTTTTAGGAATAGAGTTTTCTGGGAAGACGTTTTAAATATTAGAACGGGAAAAAGCAGCATTTTCATCCCTGGGTATTGACAGTTATACACTTGGGGACTGTGTTATCAGTTCGTAGATTAGAAGTGCAGCAAGTTACAATCCCGGTTTAATCACTGTGACTGGACAGAAGGAAGAGCTGCCTTACCCACATGCACCAACGTGAATTTCACTTCCCTCCAAGGTGCTGCAGGCTTCTGGGTGGCCTCTGCATACTAAGATGCAAGCGCTCCCACGACAACATCTATAAGCCATTACACATTCCAGGGAGGAGGCCTTTGTCAGCAAGGTAAGACAGATTATAGGGATGCAAAAAAGGGGATTTTAAACACAGCCATGCTTCCCTCCACACTATCAGGGTGCTCATGAGCTACGGGGAGGTATCAAAACAGCAGGGTTGGAACTTGGGCAACAGGGAAGAGCTTTTGGTCCATGTTGCTGCTCTCAGCTTGCAAGAGGGGTGTTTGTGGTCCCTCAAGGCACAGCACTTGGGAAAACAGATAGAGCTGACCAGTGCAGCTGTAGGGTTGGGTTCATGGACAGCTTTGGTCATACAGTGTCACCTTACGCCCTGCCGTGTCCTTCGACTCTTAGTACCAGTCTCAGCTCCCTCCCACATCCCCAGTGAGCCATCACAATTTCTCGTCTAAGCCATTACCCAAGACCCTGATATAAACAGGGGTATGAAAACAGCT